CCCTCCCTTCCTTCCTCCATCCATCCATCATTGGCCTAAGTAATCCTTCAACTCATTTGAAAGATTTACACCTTCTACATCCATGGTTTAGATTCTAGAATGTCTCTGTCCCTCCTTTTATTTTTTCACTCAACACATATCGAACACCTACTATGTGCTGGAGACTCTGCATGACACTAGGGAAACAGTATGCAAAATGGATATGGTCCTCACCCTCCTGATGCTCAGCTGGAAGAGACACTAAAATGAGCCAAACTTTAGCACTCATAGTTCTTAAGTGAAGCTTTGTGAACATAGCGGAGTAGCATACTTAAACTTTCTAGAGTAATTTTTTCCCTTTCTGGGTTTTAACTGTTATTACTATAGAAAAAGCTTTATTTACATTATATAATGCTTCTTGCTCTGAAGTCTACTTTGTCTTACGATGATATCGCTGCCTCACATTTTTTTCACTTGCATGCCATAATTTTGATCATTGCTGGATTTTCTCTCTTCTAACATGTGAGTTATTTTTCCAATTTACTTAATTTTTTTATTTATTAAAATTGAGATTTAAAAAGCTCATAACATAAAATTTACCATGTTATTTTAAATTTGCAGTTCAGTAGTGTTAACTAGATTCACATTGTTATGCAACAAATCTCTAGAATGTTTTCATCTTGTAAAACTGAAACACTGTACCCATGGAACAACTATTTCCCACTCACCCCAGCCCTTGGAAACCACAATTCTTTCTGTTTTTAGGAGTTTGACTGTGTTAGATACCTCCTATAAGTGAAATGAGATTGTATTTGTGTCTTTATTACTAGCTTACTTCACTTAGCATTAATGTCCTCAAAGGTCTTGCATGTTGAGCCCATGACAGGATCTTTCCTTTTTTAAGGCTGAATAATATTCCAATTGTGTAGATACACATTTTCTTTATCCATTCGTCCTTCGATGGACATCTGAGAACAGTGTGAGTGATGTGAATGTGAGTACCTCTTGGCTACTGTGGACAGTGCTGCAATGGCTGTGCCTCCAGACTACTTTGACTCCAGATATAGATATTAATCCATCCTGTGTCTGAAAGTGGTTTTTGACTATAACTACGAACTGCAGGCTTGTGCTGGTAGGGAGGGGACAGTGGGCCACTTCTGGTGGGGGTCCCATCTCTGGATGTCTCAGCAACAGCAGGGTGATGGAGAAATACCCTGAACCACTCAGAGCAGAGAGTTTCCTGTCTGAAAGTTTATATGCCAATCATGTGAAAGGCACCATGCCAGGCACATTCACATGTGTAGAAGTGTAGAAGGCTTCTTGAGTTAAAAAAAAAAAAAAAATCTGACAATAAGGATGATTTCTTTCAAATTCCCATGATCATAAATAGTAATGAAAACACTGATCACCAATGTCAGAAACAGGCCCAGCAGGGGAGGGCATGAGAGTGTCAGCATGGAGGCGGCTTGTGTTATTTGAAAAGGGAGTTCATTGTGAACAGAATATATTCAAACATCAAATATAATGCAAATTACTGAAATTTTAGCTTAACAACTTTTTTACTCTGACTGTTGGGGTGTGGGTTATGATAATGAAGAAAGTAGGTCTGTGTGGCTGATGCAATAGCCACCAATCTCTCAAAGGGAGCAAGAGCCCCTGCCAGGGTTCTAACCTGATGTTCTTTAGTCTCTAGGTTGTTGGTTAAATAAATCATTTTTGTTGAAAGCTGGTCTTTAAAGAACTTCGGTTTCACTTGGGGACCCCAAAGTCTGTATCTGGGCTCCCAAGTCATGCCTGCAGATGGCATTCCTAATAAAATCAGTTCATACACAAAAGTCAAGACCAACCATGAGCCTCTGTGGGGACTAGGAAATGTGCTTTCAAGGAGAAAAAGGAAAAGCACTGCAAACATGAACCACTTAAACTTTCCTTGATGTCTTAGGTCATCATTTCAGTCCTTAGAGAAGGGGAGGACTATTGCAGACTCAACTTGTTGGTACTTTACTGGAGCTCCTTTACTTGTAACCATAGCAAATAGGTTTATTTTATGGTGCAGGCAAGCAGAAAAAGTGCTGGTCTGAGAGTCTGAGATGGGTTTCGGTGCCAGCTTGGCCACTAAGCAGCTGGGTGGCTTTAGACATGTGCATTCCCCTCTTGAATATCAATCAGCCCACCTTCCGTAAATTCCTGCAGCGTTCAAAAGCTCCATCCCTTTCAGCACTAACACTGTGCATTAATGATATCGCTTGGGCCTTGCATCCAGTCTACTTTTATTTGGCATTTGTTCATTTGATACATATATACATATATAAAAATCTGTACATGGTAAAAATACAAAATATTTCTTTATAAGTTATGCAATTAAACAACTACCATTTTTAAATTTAAAAAACCATTGCAAAAAAAGAGAGAAGGAAACCTAGTCAGTCCTTTATAGTCATCCACAATAACCTTGGTATAAAATATCCATACAATACATGTGTACAAAATAGTGTACAGTTCATAAAAGCTGTGCAAAGACAGCAAAGTTCGGTAAAAAAAAACCAAAAAAAACAAAGAGGCTTGTAGGTCTCTCATGCCCAGTGCTCAGGAGTTTTGCAGGTCAGCGAAACCTCCCCAGAAATAAGTAAAGGGCACAAGGTAGAGTGCTTGGTGCATATACTATGGATGCAGAAATTAAAAATAAAAAAAAAAGCTTTAACACACATACAGAAATAGAGACTGACTTCCTCCCATTCAGAGAACTCTCATCGTTGCCCAGAGAGTGTTTAGAATATGACAGAAAAAAGACTCAGTATTTATGTCTACCTTAGACCAGAAGGCACAGATAGGTATTCTTTCGTTTGGAAATTCTTGAGCTTTCTCAGGGCCCTGTTATGGGAAGACTGGGTTACCAGAGTGTAGAGTTGGGTAGGAGGCCCTTGCACCTCAGAGAGGAGGTAGAGGGGTGGAGGGAGTCAGGGGTCTTGGAGTTGTGTGCTTGTGGCTCCCGCCCGGTTTCCTCCACACGGGGCCTCCTGCCTCACAGGGTTGTCACTGCGCAGGACCAGCAGGGCCTGGCTCACGGCCAAACCCGGGCTGCGGAGTGAAGGCCCCACTGAGTCTGAAACAGCCTGCAATGCAGACGGACCGCAGCCCGCGAGTAAAAGCTAGGGCCGGGTCACGACCTCTGCTTAACTCCCGC